TGACAACAATGTTGCAAATTATGGCAATGCACTACTTTAATAAGCCTAGTTTCGATTTGGTCTTTATGTTGATACTCTATTTATACATCAGCCATATTACTGTAAATTATACAGATGAAGGAAAAAGTAAGAATAAAGAGCGCATAATGGCTGAATTTTACAGTTTCTTAATACCTAAATTTGTCGTGTTTTATAAGAAGGGAAACTGATTAGCATCTCAAATGGTTTTGTTTATGCAGACTCGTGCAGCTAATTATGACAACCTAATTGAGACCTATGGCTCTGTTTATACTCTGTTAAAAAGTTTTTTATACCTGTTAAAACACGACCAAAACAAACAAATAAGACAATAGATGCACCTGACATTGCAAGCTGACTCGGCTGCGTGAATTTTGGAATGATTTTCAAATTTCATGCACACATAAATAAAACACACTTTTACTTTGCTTTTCGCCTTTATATTAGTTGACTGTTTAGGAAATTAAATTAAAATAAACCGTATAGACATCACTGTGCTATTACAACCTGAATATATTAAGCTGTACACTTGTCACTTGTGTTGATTTCAATGGTCTTTGCATATAGCATATAGTCACGTGCACGTAGTTGTATATATGACAGAACTATATACAATCAATTTTCTGTAGTATACGTTTGGTAAAGTTAAGGCCAAGTAGATATCCATGAACATTGTATCATTTTGAAAAGTGAAACGTAAACACATATTAATAAAAAATTTACCTGTTTTGAGCAGCCACCTTCAATTAAGCAAAGCGTGTTCAATCGCTGAATCAGACTTAGTTCATGCCAACGTACATTCATTAGAATGGAATATAGAAACCCGTACTTTACTCGTAGGTCTTGCTTCGCTTTACCTCCTTCAACACCAGTGATTGCATTTAGAATCTCCATGACAAATGGGATATTGGTCTCCATTTCTTCCCACAACTTTTCAAACGAGAAGTTTATCATCATGCCGCATGAGTCTTGTCGTCCAGCGTGTAAAATAGAGCCTTTGTTTCTAAGGCAAAGGTTTTTGCAAGACGCATTTATATCATCAGTGATTTTTCTCTTCACCTCTCTAACTACGTTGGGACAATATTTCATAATTATATACGCGAGGACAGAGGCGTCTTCTGTTCGTGCAGCTGCTGTTATTTTCTCTATCTGACGTGCAGTGATCAGGGTCGAAGACGGGATTACAGTTGAGTTTGCGGTCGATGAAAAATCGAGCCTGCTTCTTACACTGCGAGTCGAAGTCGTAGTTGACTGAGCTATGTCTAGATGTATTGTACTGGGGCCAGGCACGTCCATCTCTGGTTCTTCTATACTCTCATCATCTTGTGACATTGATTGCCGTTTCGCCGGTTTTTTGTTTGAAATGTTGGGCGATTGCACAGGATATCTTTTCACAGTTACCTGCTCCTTTAAGTCAGTTTGTGCTTGTTGACATTTGCCTATGAATACATGGATTTTTTTAACGAAGGTTATGCATTTATTGCATACAGCCGTGGGAAGACCGTCCGATCTTTGTATAAAAATTCCACACGATTCGGATATTATTTTAACCAGAAACTTCTGTACTGCTGCTACCGATAAAACGTTTGTCATGCGCCGGCTTTCCGTTTCACATCCACATAATCTGCAGCATCCTTTATGTTTCTGTTTTAAATAAACTTTTCTAGGTGTAGATTGTGTACTGTTGTTCTCCATCGAAATACTGTATTGTACGCTCCTGGCTAATTGAATTTAAATAATATGCATATTTCGCATGTCGATTTCATGTATAATTATTATAATTATGCTATTTCAGTAAAAGGGATTTGACCAATGGGTGATAAGAACACCGCAGCCGATGCCAGGGCTTTCTCCAGCTCAAAGGCCCTGGGGACGAGGTTGATCGGTGACCTATATCTTCAAATTTTGACCACGAATTTATTTTGCGATAAATTTTATAAATTTCAAATTTTAAAAAAATCTGTAGTGTGGAAATTTCGCAATAAATTTTTCGCTTTTAAAAAAATCACACACTACAGAATTTTTTTAAACTTTCACCACAGTTGCAGAGCATCATTCCTTATTGATATATGAAATAAAAAAGATAGGTCACCGATATCGTTTTTGAGATAGCGGCACATTTATGGGTTACATTGGAAGGATTTATGCTGTCGTCATGTTGCCATGGGAACATTGACATCGTCGAAATCTAGTTCGAAATATTCCTTAGGTGACCAATATTGCCACCAAGTCGAAAAGAATTCGCGTTCTGCACGAATAAGCCGGCTGTTTTACGGAATTATTGCTTAAACAAGAATAACTGTAGGGAGCCACCTTAATAGAAACAGGTCTACTGCGTATAGGTTGGCTTTCAGAGGTCGTTTCACTAATTATGGAATGTGTCATTATTTTTATCAATTCTAAATAGAATCAGTAAATATTTCATCTTAGGAATTGTTTTGGATCCAACACCAAGTGGGGAATAATCACATATTCATCCCCCCACGATCCAATAATTGGAGGAAGTAACGATATATGTTTTGTCTATTGGTAACGCCATGGTGGTGTCAGATTCTTCGTGCATGTGAAAGTTTAATTACATTCTTCTTCGTTGCCAGATCCGTGCGATTCATTACTCACGTGACTCAAATTGGTCGAACTCGCTGCATGCATGGGCGAAGTGACCGCAATGGAAGTAGACCTCGACGTTGTATGTTCTTGAAGCTACCAGGCGTACCAAAAGGGTGTCCGATTCTACTGATTCGAGTGCTCAGCTTTGACCTTTGGATATTACTGGCATACTGAAGAAATGTATAAGGAGAGTTGTGACTCGCACTTTTTAGCCACTTTTTTAGTTCTGAAAAGATCATGACATGCAAAAATAACTTCTGGTGTTATGAAAGTAGCTTTTTGGGCACCTTTTCGGGGGTTTAGATAATGATAAAAACTAAAGACCAACCGCATATGATTTTGAAATTTTTAGCCACTAGCTATTAATTTTGAAATCTGAACGAATAAAGAAAATGGCCAAAAAGTAAAGGTTATATAAACCGACAGAAATGCGCCACAACAGCTACAACTATTTTAGTTAAGATAATCCGTGCGTGTTTGTCGGTCGGACTAGCTTGTTCATTTGGTGTCTCTCAAAGTAAAGCTTGTGACGCTGTTGCGATGCACAAACGCGCATTGACTTTGGCCAATAACCTGGAACGAGACCATTAAGCCACTTTTACCATAGAAAAATTGAGGGAGAAACTGAAGCTTCCTAATGGAGGCAAATAACGCTCTCTGACTGGCTAATATCTCGTTCCCCGGATGTCAATTCTCGTTCCCGGATGCAAAGCCGCGATGTTTAGGAGGAGCGGGAAATTACGAAAATAATATTACAACTTCCAAAACACCGATTTTTTCCTGTTTTAACATAGTTCAAGCAAGGACTAAAAGCTCGAAATCAACAAGAATATACCTGGACTTTAATACAAAACAAGCGTTGGAACGGTAGAAATGTTTTAAAGTTTCCAAAGTTTTTATCATTTCGGGACGATATAAAATTTCGTCATATATAATTTAAATGCAAAACAGTCAGGAGTATTGATAAAACCATGCAAGATTGAATACTTGAATTGTTAGCCAAAAGTTGTAAAATAGGTTTTCTAGGTTTTATATATACGTCGATCTGGGCATGAGTCAATGGGTCAACGTTTGTGCCCCCTTCCCCGCCCCTTATAATTCGTCACAAATTGATGGTCCACCCCTGTTATCGTTGGACTAATTTTTTCATGAAAAGTTTTATTAGGATATTAAAAGGAAATTAATCTAGAACTATGAAACAACATTTGTAAAAACCTGCATATAAAATGTGTTTGCACATGCAACGAAAAAGCTCACTTGTGCTTTTTCCAAGTGGCATTCAATGAATTGCAAGGCATCAGTGGGATTTAGTGTCTTTCACAATTTATTTAAAATTCAGGCTGACACACTACTTTATTGATCTATAATATACCAAATCATATTTGAAACTCCGCCCAATCCAACCGGCAAATAGATAATGGGATCTCATAGATCACAAGAGTTCCCACAACGTTTTACCAAAGATCGAAAAAGCCAAAGATCGCGGGCTAACAACTTTGCATTTTCGCCATTTTAATCGCTTTTTAGGTTCTTTAAGCAGATAAATGAAACGGAAAAGTCCGTAAATGCCATCAATCAATTAATTAAAGAATTTAATTTTTCTCATTTTTATTCATGTTTAAGATTTCTGAAATAGCGGTCAAAAGTGGCCATGCACAAAGTCTTAAATTCTTGGCCATTTCTAGCCACTTTTTTCCCTATCTAAATGTTGTAAGGACAAGTCTTGTTGTAAAACACTGTTTTCTCTTCGATCTAGCTAGTAGCTACTATTCCACGTCTCAGTTGCGTACGCTCTCATCCTAACATAAAATCCATCGTTTAATAAATGGCCATCGCAACGTTACGGTATTACGTATTCGAATAATCGATAATCATATCCAATAAAGCATGCAACAAGATTTTATCATGCACAGTTTCTCACGACATACTAGAATTTGCGCCAGCGTGTTCGTATATGTTGAGCAACTTGATTCATAATGATAAATTGTAAGTATGCAAAATTTCGCGAGAGATTTTCCAAAATATTTACCCTAGATAATATTTTTTTCAGACTCAATTACTATTGCGGCATCACAATCTTTTTGCGTAGACAGTCGTACTCCTCATTGATAGTCGGACGAATCATTGATCCGCGTGCAGGCCTCCGCGCGTTATCGATCGATCCCTTCCTACCTTGCCTAACCCACTGGTACACCATACAGTATCCATCACTCCACGTTGTTCTTCATCAACCACATGTAGAAAGATGGAGGATTTGCTTCGCGATGCCATAGCAAATTTACAAACTTTGTTTTTCTGGTTCCGAAAATACTCAAGAACTGTTATTGCGAGTTAAAACTATATGTCATCCCAATTAAAGAAACGGGAAGTATTGCAGAATGCCGTCCACTAGTATAATATCATATCATGTAGCCCGGCCGCTATTTCACTGGATACGTACTACTAGAAAATACATGCATGCAGAAACCCTCGCCTTGCTGACAAAACCATTGTATTTTCCGAACGTGAAGTATTTAAACTTAAAGTAGTGGTCATGGTAACACGATAATTTTTTAAGAATATTTTTTACAAATGGAAAATCCCCTAAAAATATCACTTTTAATTACAAAATTATCAATTTCCCAAACATAAATATGTTAGGTATGTTATTATACGTAATATAAGCTTCAATTTAAGGTAAAATTCAACCGCAAACTCTTCGCAAAACGTTTTAAAGTGTTCTTTTAATATAGAACTAAAGTTAACTGCCTTTATCGATAAATTTTGAGTTCGAAATAAAATGATTACAAAATAAAATAATTATAAAATAACTGTGCTTAGTATAATAAAAAGGGTAATCAATAAAGAAACACTGAAATAATACGCTGTCTTGTTTCACATTTATACGCAACGATCGGCTTTTAAAGTAATTACAGTATATTATTAAAAGCAAACAATGCATCAATATTTGAAACAAACTTACCTTCGTTAACGTCGGCACCTTTACTCCCTTCTTTTAGCAATTCTTTTGCCTTTATTTCATCAAAAATCTTTTGAAATTTACAAAATCTTGCAAAAATGAAATATATTTGCAAAAAATCATCCAATCAATTTCGCTGTCATCCTGCAGCCGTTATAATGCCAATTTTAAATTGGACCAATCAGTGTTGGCTATTCATGATAGTCCGCTATATTATGAGATCAGTGAGGATGACCACCCACCGAAACACGCACAGTGACCTCGCCCGCGATAATTGATGAACTTTAGACTTCGCTAATGGTTTCGTTTCCCGGGTGTAAATAGCCGGGGGGAATTAGTACCCTCGCACGGCGCTTCGCGCCGTTGGCTCGGGGATAATATAATTTTTTTCCCAGCGACGCTAATTAATCATAATCTGTCAAATACCAATGTCCGGTTGTGAGGAATATTATACCGTTACACAGTTAAACCACGGGTTAAACCATGCACATAAATGAGCAAGCAAGCATGTGGTTGCTCTCTTAATTAGTCTTTCTAACCAGGAACTCTATACTGAAATAAGCTGATCCTAACCCTAATCCTTAACCCTAGGCCCGAAGAGGGTTAAAACTAGTCGGGGAAAGAATCAGTTAAACAAGGTTAGTTTTTTAAAGCGGTAAACCACTAAGACTAAATATACTAAAAACAACAACACGAAGCTTGCTGAAAACCACCGCCAAAAATGTTTTATATTACTGCTACAGTATGAAGTGTAAGTTTAGTAAGCCTGATTACAAATCAGAGTCCAAAAAGGTGATTCCAAAATAAGTGCAAGCCGGCGCATTACGTCCAAAATCGACTTAATCGAACCGCTTCATTAGATTCACCTCACGACTGCTGAAATGGTTGGCCAAGCCGTCAAATGACCATGGCCACTATATAATTATCTTTTGTCGGTCGTGGGCGACCAGAATTTAGCCTCAACGGCCTTTGATCGTAAATTAAATTATTTTGCCGTTTTGTACGAAAAACGTAAAAAATTAAAATTTAAAAATATCGTATTGTCATCGCAACACATGACGCCACAACGCGAGCCTGCGTTCAGTGTTGGCCAATTACGAATACTTCATGTTAAATCAATGTTTGG